ATGTTGTTTTTTGCAGTAAGCCTGGCATGTACGTCTATTCTGACTGCAGGATGTTTCTAGAAATGGGAATTGTGTGTTAAAGGGTACTTGTTCCTGTCTATAGATGCTACCAACTTATACTTCAAAAATATGTCATTTAGCACCGGTGGGGTGGTGTGAGCCTGGTGGACAGCTACTTGGGGGAGGCTGAGGCAGGAGGACTGCATGAGGCTAGGAGTTCACAGGCCAGCCTGGGCAACTTGGGTGAGATCCTGTCTCTAAGAAAAAAGAAATGTAAAAATTGTGTCTTTCTTTTTTTTAATTGATCGTATCAAAATTAATATTCATAATAATAATGGTGAACATTATTGAGTACTTGCTGAATAACTGTGATTTTTGGGCAATCCACTAAGGCAGAGAAACAGACAAACATGATGAGGGTATGAAGCTGCATTTGCTTGAAGTGTAAGGAAGAAGACTGGTTCTGGAATTGGCCACGTGCATTACTATCCTGTAAAGGAGACAGGCAGAATACAAAGCTCATCTGTTATTATTTGGTTCTGGGAAATGTCAACGTGAGTCATTTAGGACCGACAGTCAGAATTTGAAACTTCCTGTTTTTTTGGAAGGTGTTTTATTTCCTATTTGTTGTGAATATTTATTCCCAGTAGGAGCTTAATTCTGAAGGGTAAATAATAACAACAATAGTAAGATCACTTAATTTTTTTACCTTATTATTATTATTTTTTGAGATAGGGTCGTACTCTGTCACCCAGGGTGGAGTGCGGTGGTGTGATCTCAGCTCACTGCAACCTCTGCCTGCCAGGTTCAACCAGTTCTCTCACCTCAGCCTCCCGAGTAGCTGGGGCTACAGGCACGCCACCATGCCTGGCTGGAGATGTCCTTCTTAGGTGCTGGGCCTTAGACTCCTGAGTACTGCATGGGAATGCTTCCCAAGGTAGGTTTCATGGTGATCCACAAAGGAAGAGCTGTGTGTTCATACGTATGGGAATGTCTGGCTGAGCAAGAATAGGGCTAGCAGCAGAGCCTTTCATAAGTGAGTACAGGAAAGGATGCTGTAGGTCAGCGTTTCACACTGGGGACGATTTTGCCCCGACCTCCAAGGGACATTTGACAATGTCTAGAGACAAATCTGGTTGTTATAACTGAGGGTGGGTGGGTGTTACTGGCATCTAGTGAGTAGACAGAGTTGCTGCCAAAACCCAACAGTGTACAGAGTAGCTATGCACAATAAAGAAGAATCTGGCCCAAAGTGTTAGTGTGGTAGGGCTGAGTACACACACCACACTCATACATATTCATTGAGCTTGAGTGTCAATGAATAATAATAGTAATGATGGACACATCAGTTTTATTGAGTTGTCAAGTGTGTCAGGTGTTGTTCTATGTGCCTCACATGTATTAATCGTTTGAGGTGTCATCACAATCCTATGAGGTTGATAGTTGCTCCTATTATCCTGTAATACAGATGGGCAAATCAGAGGCCCAGAGACTCTGAGCTCCTTGCCCATTGTGACACAGGTGCTAAGTGTTGGAGTTGGGATTTGAACCCAAGTACCTTGAACTCACTCCATCACTGCCTCATGAAGAACAAATGGCTCTTTCTCTTTCTTGGCCCTATATTTGTGCCATTACTCATTAGCTCATGCAGATGTTTGCTAAGTACCTGTTGGGTTCTAGGTGTTGGGGATGCAGCTTCGAACAAGGATGTCCAGTCCTTGCCTTCACCTGGAGAGGGGCAGATACTCAATTCATGCTTGCATAATTTGGTCTTGATTCACGGCTGTGCGTAGTGCTATGAAGAAGCTGAACACAGTGCCTTAGAGGTGCATCATCGGGGACCCACCAGAGAGAGTGGCTTTGTCTTCGTATATTCAGAGGAAAACGACTTTTCCTTCAGAATGGAAGGAACTTTCTTAGTTTCAGACATGATGCCTTGTGTGTAACTGCTTGTTCCAGCAAGGGCCAACTGCCTGGGTGGGCTGGGAGAACAGTTGGTAGCTGTGTTCTCAGGATTCTCCAGAGAAACAGAACCTACAGCGGGTGTGTGTGTGTGCATGTGCGTGTGTGTATAAAACAGCATCTTTTGTTCAATACTGCATCCCCAACACCTAGAACTCAGCAGGTAGTTAGTAAACATTTGCATGAGCTAATGAGTAATGGCACAAATACAGAGACAAGAAAGATAATGAGCCATTTGTTCTTTTTTTTCTTTCTTTTTTTTTTTTGATACACAGTCTCGCTCTGTCACCCAGGCTGGAGTGCAGTGGTGCAATCTTGGCTCACTGCATGCTCTACCTCCTAGGTTCATGCCATTCTCCCACCTCACCTCCTGAAGTATCTGGGACAGGCACCAGCATCACAATCACGCTGCTAATTTTTTTGTATTCTTTTTTTTTAGTAGAGATGGGGTTTCACCATGTTAACCAGAATGGTCCTCGATTCCTGACCTCATGATCCGTCCGCCTCGGCTTCCCAAAGTGGTGTGAGCCACCACCATACCGCCAAACCATTTGTCCTTTATGAGGCAGTGATGGAGTGAGTCCGAGGTACTTGGGTTCAAATCCCAACTCCACCACTTACCAGCTGTGTCACAGTGGGAAGTAGGTTGAGTCTCTGGGCCTCTGTTTTGTATATATACATATACACACAAACACACACAGATATACATAGAAAGATCTATACATATATTTTTTATGTGTGTGTATATATATCTTTATCTAAAAACGTATTTATTACAAGGAACTGGCTCATGCAGTTGTGAAGGCTGAGAAGTCCCATGGTCTTCCATCTGCAAGTCAGAGACCAGGAAAGCTGGTAGTGATGTTCCAGTCTGGTTCTGAAGGCCTGAGATCCGGAGCGCCCACTGGTAGAAGTCCCATTCCAAAGGCAGAAGACGACTGATGTCCCAGCCAAGCAGTGAGACACAGAGATCAAATTCTCCTGTTCTCCACTGTTTCGTTCTATTCAGGCCTGACGGATTGGACGCGGCCCACCCTCCTGGGGAGGGCCATCTGCTTTACTCTGTCCACCTATTCAAATCCCATTCTCATCCCCAAACACTCACAGGCACCCTGAGAAATCTGTTATATTTAACCAATATACTGGGCACCCTGTGATCTAGTCAGTTAACCTGTGAACTCAACCATCACAGTGGCTTTTCTCTCTCATGCCTTGCCTGGGTTGAACTTCCTTGGAAGTAGAAGTTGGCTCTTCAGCCCTACCTGGGCTTCCTGGTCCCTTCGCTCTGGGACTGGTGGCTGTTCCACCTCCCATTACAACTCAGGGTTTCTGAGTTCTCCAGTTCCCCTCTGGCAAAATGGGGATGTGTGCCAAGTACTCTGTGCTGAAGGGCCTGCTCTGAGGAGTAAGTGAGGCGGTGTGTGGAGGGACTTCACATGGGGCCTCCTATTGAGTGAGCCTTGGGTGGGTCTCAGTTGGTCAGGCGCTGCTTCCTTCTTGTGATTTCTAGATGCCAGGGCTGGGGAGGGTCAGGTCCAGGGCATCTTCCCTTCTGTAGAGTCCCCAGTTCCCCTACTTGCTTTCTGTGTCCTGACTGAAAATTACAGAGTGCCTTGACCACCCTGTGACCCAGCCAGCTGGCAGGTTTTTTCCCGAGTAGACCTGAGCAAAACTGGGCCTTAAACATTCTCAGGCACTGATAAAAGGTATCTAGGTAGGCCCAGGTGTGGTGCTCACGCCTAATAATCCAGCACTTGGGAGGCCAAGGACAGACGGATCACTTTGAGGCCAGAAGTTCAAGACTAGCCTGGCCAACATGATGAAACCCTGTCCTCTACTAAAAAGCAAAAATTAGCTGACCATTCGGGTGGCTCGTCGCGCTGTAAATCCTAGCTAA